TGGTGCCCCATGGGGACACATCCTCCCATCCCGCTCCTGCCACTCAGGTGAGCGCCTGTCCTTCGTCCTCCCCTGCAGGTCTCAGCAACATCATCGGGATCATAGTCTACATCTCGGCCAACGCGGGGGACCCGGGGCAGAGCGACTCCAAGAAGAGCTACTCCTACGGCTGGTCCTTCTACTTCGGAGCCCTGTCCTTCATCATCGCCGAGATGGTGGGGGTGATTGCTGTGCACATGTACATCGAGAAGCACCGCCAGATCCGCGCCAGGTCCCACTCAGAGCTGCTGAAGAAGTCGGCTTTCACCCGCCTCCCCCCCTACAGGTACCGCTTCCGCCGGCGGTCCAGCTCCCGCTCCACCGAGCCCCGCTCCCGGGACATGTCACCCATCAGCAAGGGGTTCAGCACCATCCCCTCCACCGACATCTCCATGTTCACCCTCTCCAGGGATCCCTCCAAGGTCACCATGGGGACACTGCTTAACTCGGAGCGGGACCACGGTTTTTTACAGGTCCATAACTCCATCCCCAAAGAGTTCAAGGAGTCTTTGCACAACAACCCGGCCAACAGACGAACCACGCCGGTCTGAGGCGGGCAGGGCTGTGGGCAGGCTGCATGGCATCACCCTTGTGATGGTGTAACCCGTGAAACCCCGTTTTTAAGGACAAACCCAGAGGCTCCCCAGGCCCCTGCCTGGGGGGCTGGTTTTTCACTCCTGGAAAAGCCACCGGCCGGGCCAGGTGGCTGCGGCCGCGGGGGGACGGGACCCCCGGCGGGGAGGGGACAGGGCCGTGCTGGGACCCTGGCCCTGGCGCCCTGCAGACTGAGTGGGGTTCCAACCCCCCGGGACAGCGGCTTCCCGAGGTCTCCATCGTTCGTGTGATCATAACCGCAGTGTTCCCGTAGCTGTGTGTCCATGGAAATGCTGGCGATAGCCCTGTCCGTGAGAACCCTTAACCCGGTAGTTACACTTAAGTGGAATCGCCTGGAAGTCCGGAGCTGGAAGCACTGAGTTGGTGCCGGAGCGATGCTCGTGTTCCAAACCCCCTTCCCTGTCGTGCTGGACGGAGTGCTCGGGCTGGGTTCCTCTATGGCGTTTCGTGCATGCATTAAATAGCTTGGAATTCAATTTTGTCATGTCGGGTTGGAAGAAACATCCTTTTGCAATTTTCTGTGGTCTTGAAAGGGCTTTTTTCCTTCCTGCCTTCCTTCCTGCCTTCCTGCTTTCCTGCCTTCCTTTCTTCCTTCCTTCCTGCCTTCCTTCCTTTCTTCCTTCCCATGAAAGGACTCAGGAGCAGAATTTCTCCAGTGACTGGTAGCAAGTATCCAGCGTTTAATTCACCTCTAATGTTGCAAGAAAATGAATTAATTCCCTGCAGTTGATACACAGCAGTCAGAGATGACTGTCTGGGCACAGCCAAGGAGGCAGAGTGTGATCGTGGTGCTGTGGGAGCAGCTGGGGCCGGCTGGGCTGCGGCCGCACGCGGATGGGGGGATTCCCTAATGGTTGGGAGATCCGTGAGAAAAACAACAATAAAATAGTCCAGTTTGGCAAGTTCCTTGGCTGCATAGGTCACACTGACCCTGCTGTGGGCACCGGAGGAGCGCGCGCCGTGGCTGGCAGGGAGGAGGGAGGTCGGTCTGGGAGTGCCAGGGCACATGTGAGCAGGTGGAGGTTTGGCTTTAAACTCTCCCACTGGGCCAGAGCTTGTCTAAATGGAGGCAATTTTGAAGCAGCTGGTCTGTGATGATGTGTCACTTAATTGAAATCTTATTTAATATTCTGACAGAAGTGATGGATTCCCACGAGGTCCTCGGGGGTGATTTGGGGGCAGCAAGGCTCCCGTTTGCTCTGCTCTTCACAGAAGGGAAACATCTGGTGCCTGGTGTGTGTGTCTTTGAGCAGCCCTGCCCTGGGTCTCCCACCCAAAGTAAGAGTGTGGCTGGTCACGGGTCACATCCTAATTCCATCTGGGAATAACGGTCGGGTCACTGTGGGAAACCTGGCACAGGAGCTTTGCTGGAGTGAAATCCTTCCTGGAGCTCTGCAAACGGCCCCAGGCAGGGCCATCTGCCCCTCAGCACAGGGCTGCAGGCACGTTCTTCATAGAATCCCAGAATGGGCTGGAAGGGACCTTAAAGCCCATCCATTCCACCCCCTGCCATGGGCAGGGACACCTTCCACTGGCCCAGGTTGCTCCAAGCCCCATCCAACCTGGCCTTGGACACTTCCAGGGATCCAGGGGCAGCCACAGCTTCTCTGGGCAACCTGTGCCAGGGGCTCACCACTCTCATAGGGAAGAGTTTGATCTGCCTCCCCCTTATTTGCTGTTATTTTGAAGGGGGTTGTTCTGAGAAGGCTGATTCGGATGATAATTAGGCCTCTTAATTGCCTGTAGTTGCTGATTGCATGTGTTAAAAACAGTCAAGGAAGAGTAGCACCCGGATCTTAGGGCAATATTTAAAAACAAAGTAGTGAAAGGGCTGGAAGCACAAAACATGGAATAGAACAGAGTGGAACAGTTCACCTGGGAGGGACCTGCACTGACCCTCTCAAACTGCCCGGCCAAAAGCTAAACCATGGCCTTAAGGGCACTGCCCAAATGCCTCTTCAGCCCTGTCAGGCGTGGGGCACCGACCCCTGCCCAGGCAGGGAGCGAGGGCCCTGTGGGCACAGAGGAGCCGGGTCAGTGCCGGCCCTGCTCTCCCAGCACGGCCGGGCCGTTTGTTTGTGGAGGCAGAGCAGCCTGTGATTGAAGGTGTTTACTGCCACGTGTAATATCTTTCCTTTGTACCCATGTCTTTCCCCTGGAAGAGAAAATCAATACCCGGGCTAAATCTGGAGGCTTCAATATTTCTCAGAGAAGTGCAAATCAATATGGATTTCTTAACAAGTTTAATTTCAATACCTGAAAGTGCGCATTCTGCCTATTTCCTGACCTTTCCAATCCTCAGGGGAAGAAGATTAAAAAGATTTGTTCAGATTCAACGAATTGAATCAGCAAATGCCCCATTACCTTGTTTTCTTTCCGCCAGCCCTTGATAAACAGTATGATAGCCCTTCGTCTGCGCGGGGCTGCCGGCGCCGTTCCCAACGCCAGCCACGCCAACCCGCCGGCCAGGGCAGGCCGGGCACGGATCCCCATGGCAGTGCCTGGAGTCGCCTTCACCGCGGGCAGGACAGCCCAGGTGGTGACAAAGGAGCCCGGTGGCATGTGCAGACACAGCTTCTCGGAGTGCCAGCAGACCCACATCCCACCAGCGAGCCCGATCCTCCCCTTGCTCCCGAGCAGGCTGATTTATGGTGCTGCAGTGCTCTATATTTATCCTACAATGGCTTTGTGCAGTGTTAGATCATCGTGGGAGCACTGTAAACACTGCAAAATGAACATGAGCGTGTGGGCTCTTCTGGCCAGAGAAGAAGACTTTGGGTGATTCAGTCTTTGCCCTTGGAACGATCCCACAGACAGGAGGAACCGGGACCATCCATCCCAGGTGGCACCACAGCAAACGTGCCTGCTGAGGTCGGTACCTGTTGTGTCAGTGCCAGGCACAGCAGTGGCCCCACCGTGGGTCACTCACAGCTCCCCAGGGGTGAAACAGGACTCGGCATGGCAGGGACACACGGCTGGGGGCTGGGGGCTGCCCCAGGGGGCTGGGACCGGCCCTGCGGACACAGAGGGACCCAGCCACAGCTGTGGGCACTGGGGATGGCTCCCAGTCGTGGCTGGGGCGCTGCTTTGCTGGTGCCTGTGGGCTGCCTTTCCGCTTGCCTCCCAAGGGAGGTTTTAATTGCTGTGTTGGTGCTGTGATGACAAGCCCGGCGGGGAAGCGCTGTCAGCCCGCAGGAGCTGGCACTGGCACGGAGCCCACAGAGGGGAGATGGCAGCTGGGTCCTGGCTGCAGCACAGAGCTCTGCTTTTCACCCTTCCTCCCCTAATTCCACATCCACATCAGGACAAGCACACAGCCCTCACCATGGTTTGCTGCAAAGGAGGCTCCCCAGTCCCTATTCCTGCAGAGCTTTGGCTGTTCCTTCCTTGGCATCATTCTTTGTCCTTTCTGGCTTTGATTTTTGGGTTTGTTTTTTTTTAGTGTTTGCCATAGTTTGTGAGAGCCTGGATAAGGCCAAGTGATTTATATCGTGTGTTTATTATTTACTTGATGGACAGTAATGGCTTCAGTGGTGCCATTACTGTATGTCATCTAAATCCAAATGCTGAGGTGCTGTAAAGGGCAGCCTTTCACTTGGGGCTGGAATAGCTTCTCCAGCATCGTTATCCTCTGCCACGAGTGCCTGCACACCCATAAATCTCCGACCGACCCAGCTCTCAATAGCCCCCCAGAAAATTTTCAACAGATAAGACTTTCACCTGCTCTTTGCTAATAAACTCCCGTCCCTTTGCCATTAACCTCCAGACAGTCACCAGAGGAGAAAATCCTCCTTGACCCCCTGAGCTGTGTTGGAGAAGGTCAGCAGGAGCTGGGCATGTTTGGGGAGGGGGGACTGGTGCTGTGTGGCCGTGGCTGCAGCTCTGGGGCTGCTCCAGAGCTGGGGGAGCTCTGATGGGTGCCCTGGGAAACAGTGATGCAGGTAAGTGCAATTAGCAATTAATCATTGCAGGTTCTCATTGTCTGCTCCCAGCCTTCCAGTACCTGAAGAGACCCTACAAGAAAGATGGAGAGGAACTTTTTACAAGAGCATGTAGTGACAAGAGAAGGGAGAATGGCTTCAAACTGTCAGAGAGTAAGTTTAGATGGGATATTAGAAAATAATTCTTCCCTGTGAGGGTGGAGAGGCCCTGGCACAGGTTGCCCAGAGAAGCTGTGGCTGCCCCATCCCTGGAAGTGTTCAAGGCCAGATTGAACAGGGCTTGAAGCAACCTGGGCTGGTGGAAGGTGTCCCTGCCGAGGTACTGCTCTCACTTTGCTGAATTAAAGTTTCAGCTTCTTTAATAACCTGCAGGTCCACTGGAAAACTGCAATGAGTGGCATCAAGAAGCAACTCGGTAAGTTTATTTTGATGAAATACAATAATTATCATGCTTAGCAGCTGTTGCTATTTAAAATAAGAAAAAACGGGGCTTGCATTGAAAATGTTTTGTAAACCATGTGCACCAACAATCTGTTCCAATGAAACCAGCCATTATGGAAACGGTATAATAGCAGGAGCTCATTATGGAAAGTTAAATTGCAAATCATATTTTGTTTCAAATGAGCTGGATGAATGCATAATTTGCCTCAAAGAAATAGTTTTGTAGTTCTGATCCTCCTGCCAAGAGCTGAAGCTCTCGGGCTGCAGCTGCCGGAGCGGCCTGATTGTCCATTTCAAACTGCAGGAAGTTTGGGTTTCAAAGGAAGATTTGAAGAGAGAAAAAGGGGAAAAAAAGTGAAGGAATAAAAGACAGAGCAGTGGGAGCGCTCGGTTGGTTTCCTATGTGTGATCCTGGTGCCCGTGGGGTGGGCAGGGTGGGTTTAAAGCAAACCAAGGCCCTGTGTGGTGCTGACCATGTGCCCCACTGGAGCTGGAGCCAGACCCCTTGTCTGTGAGCAGAGCCAGGGGCTCAGCCAGGGCCAGTTCCCATGGGATCTGCACTGCCAGCAGATACTGCCAGCACGGCACAGCTCGGTGCTGCCTGCCTGGCTGGGAGCCAGGGCATCATCTCTGGGGCTGGGATCGGGGTCACCCTGTGCTCCCCAAAGGCACAGCACTGTGGGGGGCCCATGCAGACCCTGAGCTCTGCCAGCTCTGGCTTCAGCTGGAGTGTCACTGGAGAAGCCACACAGACAACTCACAGGTGACAAACCCCCCTTCCCACAGGACCTGCACGAGCAAGGCTGCCAGGACTGCAGCTCCCACTGCCTCAGGGCTGGGAGGCTCTGACTCGTGGTGCCCAGAGACCTGACCTACAAGTGGTGGCACATGAGGTGCCACATGCACAGCTAATGGCATTTTCTCATTG